ATGACATTAGCAGTGGGGTGTATAAATCTCTTGGGCTAGAAAGATGGCAGCCCCAGCCTCTACTTGTACATGTATTTTTTCTTATGACTGCTAGCGGTGCTATTGTTCCTGCTTTCACAAAAGTAATAAATAATCCACTTCAGGATATTTGTTAATAAGACAATCTTTGCCAGATGTTGAATGGCAAAATTTGAACCTTTCTTGAAAGAAAGAGAGGACTATGCTCTGCTAACCCATTTATACCATCCGGCCCTGGGTGTAAGCAATTTCTAAAGACACTAGACTACTGAGATCTTTATAAACAAACATAAATTATAGTAAATTTATTATATTTGTTCCATTTTTATTTATGCACATTAGTCCATTTTAGTTAAACGTGAGCATAACATTCATAAGCATTCTTAAAAGTAATTAAAAAGCAGGCTCCTGAGTGGTGCAACAGAAAAGTGTTCACCTTACGAACTCGCATCCCGGAGATGAGAGCAAAATTGGCTGACGGCTTTATTGCTTTTCTCCGAGCCCTATGACGCCACATGAGCAGCAGTTCGAAAAGATATGGTGTCTGGCTTCATGTGTCTCGGAGGATGCACGTGTTAGTCTTCACCTTCCCCGGTTGGGAGCTGTCATGTGATAAGGGAGAGCTGGCCATTAAAAGGTCAATACAACAGTAATACCCTATTTGGACAGGTGTATATGATGCTAGAGCTGTCTGTTCACTTTTCTTTGGTCTTGTTAATAGTGTTCATGGGTTATCTTTTGGGACACTCTGTTCAGATGTGTACATTATGTAAAGTGAGAGAAAAACATGAGTCAGCATCTTTGCAGCTTGAAATGTGAAGCAAAGTCTAAATCATACAGTGTGTCAGAGGAAAGACCACTTTCTGGGCCCTACATAATGTTATTTAAAAATCAGATTAAAGTAACACCTGTCAGGCATCTGGGAGAGATTTAGATGTCCTCTTTTTGCATTTTTAACATTGAACAACTGGAATTTTCGAAGATTACATTACACATTCAAGAAAATACAAGCAGAAGTCAAGAAAACACAAACAGATTGTCATATCAGTTGAATATTTTGTAATAGTTTATGGCTCTTATTGTTAATTCTTAATTGGTTAATATTAAATTCTTAGCAGTTAGTCCTTGCTTTAATTGTTTAAGATGGGCGGATCTCTTTTGAGGGTCATTATTTTGGACAAAAATAAAGGCAGAATTACATCTTTCAATCCTCTCTGATAAGAACATGTAATTATGTAAATATAATTATTTTCTAAACACAATATTGTGATAATATTGTAAACTATAATTGGAGGTTACGCAATTATCATAATTTGTACCACAGCACTGTTGAATTCTCGATTCTGATTAATCAGAAGGTGTTAAGTTTCTCTAAGGGAAACTGACAGTAGTTCCGGCTGCAAGGCAAATCACAGGTTTATATTAATGCGCTCCTTCTAATACATTATCTTTTCTATAGTAACAGCAAATTCACAGGGACTCGTATGGTGGACGCTCCATACACACACAGATGAACAAACGTACCATTTTTGATATGGTGAAGGTTTATGTAAGGAAATTTAGCATTTATTTAGCATTTATGGAAGGAATTTCCAGTGTCAGTGCTCTGTTAGAAATTGTCAGAAAATAAGTCAGAAATGAAGCTTTAACTTTAAGTTTTCTGGCACTAGACAGAGCTTGGTACTTTATGGTTTCTCAGTAACATGAAAAGCTGATTTTTTTTATTTGATTAACTTAAAGAGAGAGAAAACATAAAGGTTGGTGAGGGAACAACTGCTTATATTGTTATATATGAGGGAACAACTGTTATAGCTACTATAGTGTAAGCCTTAACAGGCACAAACTTGTTTTGCAGATGTTCCACAACATTAACCATAACTAAAAGTGGATAAAATGTACAATGTGGTGTTCCTTAATAAAGAAAAAATAGTTAGCTTTGGTACATTGCTGTTATTTTTGAGGAATAAAACACTTTGTCATGTAACACCACATCACACTACCTTGTTACTGATTATTAGTTTTTGTTCCTTACGTAAAAATATCAATCTCAGCGCATGCCTGGGTCCAGCGGAATGGCATTTTTCAGGCATGTATGTCTTGGGATGTATTTCTACCTTCCTTTTCTTTTTGCCCCACACATACTGAAGTGGTGTGTGTATTGCTTGTGTGTAAGTAATGAACAATAAGATGACTATTGAGGAGAAAAGTAACAGCAGATTTGTTTCTTCCTTCAGGTCCATCTTACTGTAGACGTCTTTCGAGGACCACTTACATGCAGACAGTACAGAAAACCACTAAAGAGGAGCTGTTCACTTTACTCCGAACCATTCATGAGAACCCCAAACTTTCTGTAAAAGAAAAGCGGCGACTGCTCGGACAGTTCTACAGAGGACACCCTGAGATATTCGTGCAGTATTTTGGCAACCAGATATCCAGTGCTTATCTGTAACACACTGCTTTACTGAAATGCTTTTGCACAAGATGTACAAAGTGATATGTAAATTCTGTAAAATGTCTTGTAAATGTTGTAAAAAAAATGTAAATGTTATTTACTTTTTATGCACGGATGCATGAGTTAACAAAGGTCAATGTGTAACATCATGCAACTTTTAATGCCTGTATTAAAAATATGAATTATATTTATCAGGCTTTTTTCAGACCTATAATGTAAATGGTTTTGTTCTGATGTGACTGTCCTCAAATGATGTGACCCTCATAGGCATTTGTACATGTTTTTCATGGTTCCTAAACACTGTCAATGAAATAGAGCCCTTTATAAATAAATAGTCTTTTTTTTTTAAATTTACGCCGACCTATGACCCCAGCTCTGTCCTCATCCCCTACCACATGGAAGGTTAGTGCCAGTGCTTTAGAAGCAGACTCTACCCCAAACGCTACTAGTGTCCATTCTTCCTCCTCATGTCTCGGTTTAAGGCTCCGTCCCAAACAACAGAATTCGTGATTAGTGTATTTATTAGATTGATAGCCATTTGGTTGTGTTCAAAAAAAAAAAAAGCTAAATTCATTAATAGGGTTCTTTCATGACATTGTGGCTTGATCAAAAATATTGTCTAGTTAATGTCAGTCATTTTAAGGCTCCGTAGTTAGAGCTCTTACTAGAGCATTAAGAATTGACATCTACCTATTGCCCTTTCTAGACTGTCAGTTATGTTGAGACTGTCCAAAACACCATAATTAATGACTAATGAATTTTCCTAAACATCAACCATTTTAGGGCTACATTCCAAACACTAGAATCCATGGCTATGTATTATTCCTATTAGACCATTAGCCATTTTGTAGCTCTATCTCTAATGGCAGAATTCATCACTACACTATCTAGTGTTCCCACTAGAATGCTGGCCAAACACACTAAATTTGTGCCTAGGGTTCTTCCTAGACCATCAGTCATTTTAAGGCGCCGGCCCAAACACCATAACTTATTTAGAATTCTTGCTAGAGCCATAGCCATTTCAAGCTCTGTTATGAGTGTTCATAATAGAACATTAGCCATTTTAGGGCTAACGGTAAGCAATTGTAAATAAGGCTGAAGCTCCTAATAAAATGAATAATGATAGCAGCATTTCACGTGGCAAAATTACCACTCGCACCTACATGCAATTAATAGATATTACATCAGCTAAACAGATTTTTTTTCTACCCATTTAACCCCATTTTTGTAGTCACTGCTAAGTGCCAATATTGTCCAGTTAGCTAGGTTTTCTCTACTGCATGACAGCTAGCATCCCTATAGGATGAAAGCTAGCATGTGTTTCCTCCAACACACATGCTTCTAGCCACTTATAGCATGGAATCCAGATTATTCCAGACACCTTACAACCAGGTAACCTATAGAGAGCACCATGGCAGAACATGTCTATGAAGAATGCCTAGCAGCAGTAAATCAAGGCGAGTGGACTTATGGTTCAACCTTGAGCACATTTCAAGGTTACACACATCAACAAAATGTTGTACGAATGTGTGTTTAACATTCACAATCCAGTGTATGACACTTGCAAAATGAATGACACTTGCATGACACTTGTAAAATCCTGCCCCATGACAACGAGAGCTTGGTAGATCCCCCAGACGTTACGTCACGGATCATCCCTATAGAAACGCAACCAAATAGGTCACCTAGAACAGAAACAAAGTGTGAAAAACTCCAAATGCACTTGGTGTTCTAACATGACAAAAAGCCATCTGTAGCCAGTTAAGAAAAGGTCAGTGTCAGTCTCGTCTGAGATCTGCATATCCTGCTGTGGAAGAATGTATTCTTTGTTGTTATGTAACTGGGTTGAGATTTGGAATGTGAGTATTAGGCTCAAAGAAACTGCCTTGTGGTCATATTTACAAATTAGGCATGGGTTTAATGTGAAACATGACGTTATGAGGCTGTTGCTTTGCAGTGAAGAAGCTCATTTTGGCAAAAACATCTGTATCAAGACTATTTGGTGGCTTACGCAGATAAAAAGTGACAACAAGGCTGTACAGTATATGGCCAGATGACTGCTATGGTTTCTGCACCAAATTATGAGATAACTAAAATATTAAGTTTGCTAATGTTTGCATACATTTATTTAGCATAAGTATGTATCCTAGGAGAGTGGGTAGCATTGCCACCTCACATCGCCAGGGTCCCTGGTTCAATCTCAGGTTACTGGTTGTGTGTAGTTTCGCATGTTCTTCCCATGTTTGCATGGGTTTCCTCCAGGTTCTCCGGTTTCCTCCCACCTCACATAAACGGCCAGTGTTGCTGGGATAGGCTCCAGCTCTATGAACCTGACCAGGATAAAGCGGTTACTGAAGATGAATTAATAAACAAATTAATTTATCCAAGTGATTTACAAGCAAGATAGAATCCAATCCAAGTTTACGGCTGAGGATTAAAGCTCTAGCTCAAGGGACCAACAGTCACTCTCAGGCCATCCTGGGATGTAAAATCTCAATGTTCTCAATGTATTACTAAAGCAGACCCTGGGGAAGTGGTAGCTCAATGGTTAAGCTGTTGGACTTCTGCTTGGAAGGTTGAGAGTTCAAATCCTACCACTGCTGGGCCCCAGAGCAAGGCCCTTGACCCTCAACTGCTCAATTGTATAAATGAGATAATTGTAAGCCACCCTGGATAAGGGGGTCTGCCAAATGCTGTAAATGTAATGTAATGTAAGAACATGAAACTCCTTTTGCCATTTATTACAAATGTTTTACTTAATGTAAGCCTAGTTATGGCAAATAATTCAGTTTGAAGGGGTTTAAGCTATCGTAAATGTTGTTGAACTGTTCAGAAAGTTATTATAAATATAAGGTAATGCACTTGGATTGGTATGATTTTAATAGATTAATATAAACAAATAAAGTTCACAGCAGACAAATTTCTTTACTTTGTTTTATTGGAAGTGAAGTGAAATTTCCATTCGACTACAAAACGATGTTTGTGGTGTTTTCACTGGACTACACATGGCAAGCTCTGAACTATGTATCAACCAACATCCAGAATAAAACTTTGTACAATATAAGCCACTCAGTTTTAAAAATAAAACTGTTTAAAAAAAAACAAAAAAACAAAAAAACCTTTCAAAAACACAAAAAAAAATTGAGAATGAAGATGAGACTCAAATGATCTGAAGAGTCAATCACAAATGAGTCAAAAACCTCTGCTTTGGAAAAAGAGGTCAACTGTAGGTGACACGTTCCAGTTCACAACACACAGGACGTGTGTGTGTGTGTGTGTGTGTGTGTTTACACACCCTCACAGTAAAAACCATCCATGGAGGGGGAAGCTAAGAAGCCATCACTGGAGGGACAGGGAACAGTTATAAGAGTCCATAATGAGCATCGATGTTCGTTTGGGACTCATCGGATGCGCTTCTGCTGCCTTGCGCGGTAGATGTCGTTGACCGGTGGAGCGATGGCTCCTTTCTCCTCCTCCTCATCCGAGTCAGCGTTGGGCCTCTTCAGTGATTTGTTAGTTAGCGAGTGGTTTTCGATGGGCCCGTTTCCCTCTCCGGGAACATCGCCGCGGCTGCCCGTGATTAACTCCACTGCAGCTTCTACAGCTACACACACACACACACACACACAGCACAAAGAAGTGAGAACGCAACAGCACAGGATTAATTATAGCAAGATGACTCTAACACGATATTTCGATTTCAAACAGTACAATGGAGATCTCAATTTAAAGAAACCATCTAAGGAACAGTGTAAAGACAGATTATACTGATAACATGCAGGTATGCATAGAAAATATCCTCTAAAAAAAATCACTACTGCCTATCAAACACTGTCATTCTCCAACACACTTCAATCTACAACAACAACCAAACGTTTCCAATCACAACATGCCATCAACACCAACATCTGATATGATACATCATAATTTACCCCCAACATTCACTAATGACAAACACCAAAAAGTGGCATCAAACATGATCAAATAACATTCACCATCAAACACCAAAACTTTCAAACAATGAGCATCAAGACCAAAATTCAATATGGAACACCAAAATTCATTACCCACAACACTACAACTCACCAACTACAAACATCAGCATTCTTCTGACATCTACCATTAAATATCAACATTTATCATCTAACACCGTAACCATTTGCTATCAAACACCAGATTACACTACAAAAAAAAACAAAAAGGCCAACATTTACCAAACATCTACTGTATATTTACCATTAGGTGTCATCATTCTACATCCAACACCATCATTCACCATCAAACACCAACCCTCTAACACATTCAGCATCAACACCAACATTCATTATTGAATACAAATTCATTACTCACAGCAAACACCAACATTCTTCAGCAACCAAAATTCACCACGTTCCTAATATTCACCAAAAATTGGCATCAAACATGATCAAATACCATCCACTAACAAACACCAAAAATTTCCAACAATTCAGTATCCTAAACAAACACATTCAACAAGCAAAATTCACCAACTACAAACGGCATTCTTCTAATATTCAAAACAAATATCGAATAAACACTCATCATCCAACATCAACACTCTCTATCAAACACCAAAATACAGTGGTAATAAACACCACTTTCCATAAACAAAAAAGCCAACATTCACCAAACATCCACTGTCCATTTTCCATCAAACATCATTCTACAGCAAACACCATCATTCACCAGTGAACACCAAAACTCTAACACATTCAGCATCAACATCAAAATTCATTACCCACATCAATTACCAACAATCTTCCAAATTCACCATTTAAAACACCAGCATTCTTCTAACAATCACCAATAAACAACATTCACCAAAAGCAAAATTCACCAAACACCAGTATTCCTCTAACATTCACTTATAAACATCAAACCATATTAACCTTCACCATCCAACACCATCACCATTAGCTACACCAAAAGAAACACCAAACCTTTCCAAACAAAATTCCATCAACAGCAACATCCAGCAAACTGGTTAAAAATTCACCATCACCATTATTATCTAATGACATCAAAACACCAAGAATTGCCATCAAACACAGTCAAACAACATTCACGATCAAACCCTAAAACTTATCCAACAATCATTAGGCATCAACACCAACATTCATTATTGAACACCAGATTCACTACCCACAACAAACACAAACACTCAACAACCAAAATTCGCCAACTACAAACAGCATTCTTCTAACATTCACCAACAAACATCAAATAAACCTTCAACACATTTTCCAAAAAAAAAAAAAAAAAACCATTAGTCAAACATCTACTGTACATTTGTCATTAAACACCTTCATTTCACCATCAAACTCCAAAACTTTAATGTAGCTTCATAATGTTCCATAAATGAACCAAGCAGCTAAATAAACCAGCGAACATTCTAGAAAACGTCCTAATCACACCCAAGTACACCACCAACCTTTGGTTTTGTTTCACGGAAAACATTTTATCAGTAGAAACTTATGGCTTGTTTGGTATACATACTCTCTGGCAGTGTGCATCTTCTGAACGTCTCCATCAGCTCATCCACCTGGACAAATGGACCCTGTGAGGGAAGAAAAGTTTACAATGAAACCATTTTCAGGGAAAATCAGATGATACGCTTATAACAATGACTCTTACAGATTTAACACATACATTTCTGTTTTTATAGACGGCTTGATAATTAGCCGATTCGTTCAATCTGCTGTACTTCAGGAAGTACAATGTATGGTACACACAGAAAGTCCATAACCAGGACTTTTTAACACTTACCATCAGAACTGTGGGATCATAATTGCTTAAAACTAACATCATTACTAAAGGTTTTAACGAACACAATGGTCATTATTCATCAGAGGTGTATACAGTCACATCTGATTATAAAACATGCATACACAAATTCCACCACTTTCCTTATTCTTCAATTTCATCTTTGGCGTATCTGTGTGATAAAACTCATGGCTTGTCACGTGAACTTGAGCGTAACAACAGCCTAAAAATGCTCAGTTTGCAGGTAAATAAACAAAATAAATATCAGCTTTCATAGCAAGTATAGCTAGTAGAGAAGTATATAACTGTAAAATAGCAAATCGTGATGATAGACACAAGTGCACACAGGGGTTTTGTGTCAACATGTAATTTGTAAATGTGATCCGAATACACAGATGTGGATCTTTATCAACCTGTTGGTCCTTTAATTGATTAATTAGTACATTTTTTGAGTACACGAGGCACTAAAAAAGTGGTGGAGTGGATTCTGAGTTTTATTAGGCAGACAGGCTGTTTAAAGTCACTTGGGATATGATTGTGCAATTTTTTCGGGTACTTACATAATTTCATAACAACATTAAACATGATGCATCTGATTTTACTCATCTGGTCTGATTCATTCACTGTTTTGTTCATGTGAAAGGGATTTGTGTATTTGTTCAGGATGGAAACTTGGCTCACATATTTTTAAAAGAAGCTTTAATAAAACTTGATCTATTCAAGTTCTAATATGAATGAAGACCTAGTAATGAAGAAAAAATAGAAAAAGGAAAACAGACTTCAGTAAAAACAAAGGACTGCAAATGACAAACCTACTGGAACATCTTTTCCTTTCATTCTTCCTTCTCAGTTAATTTTGAGTTTTCATTTTGCACACTCTGTTTTATACCAATTTTAAGGCTTGTGAGAAAAATAATTTCTAGAAACAAGCACCTCAGAAACAAAGAACTTATAACCCAGTTTCACTGATATTTATTTTTCCCCTCTCCGTTTATTTCTTTTCACAGATCTTGGAGGAAAGAAGTAGCCTGAACCCTGCTGTCTTTTTTTGGCTCACCTTTGTAACACCTGCATAAGTCAGAGTGTGTGTGTGCGTGCGCGCATGTGTGTGTGTGTGTGTATGACATGTACACAAAAGACCAGGGAGTTTGTTTCCATGCAGATAAAGCAGATTTTATCAGCTACGCTCAAATCACCACTTGTTTTGACTTAGGAAGGAATCTACTTCTGGGTCATGAAACTCTTCCACATCACTGTATATGCTCAGATCGGCACTCGTTTCAACACAACCTCGATGAATAAAGGCTAATGTTGTTAGTAACACTTTCTGACTCTGACACAATGGGTGTTAGTACTCACCGTGAAACAGTTTGGAGGAGGCAGCAGCTTCATGAGGATCACAGCAGCAGGGGGCACAGGAAACACTCCTCCTGGAACAGGGTGCAGGCCAGGGGCTGCCCCACACACACACACACACACACACACATTATATAAGAGCACAGGATGAAGACTACAAGAAACCAGCACTATGTGTCTGAGCCTACAGCAGATGAAGTATCGTAAGCTTTGGAGATCGGAGCCAGAATGTGGTGCCTTAGCAACACAGCGAGAACGGTCCATTAGGACATTGTAGTGATATTAGTCAAGAAGGTGAACAGTAAAAGCAGGGAGGACATTTAAAAAGTTCATTCTGTTCCTTACGGGCAAGGTGTCGAGGCTGGAAAGGGATCATCTGGTTGGTGTCTGGTTTGGGATACTCCGGCTTACGGTCTCCATCATCTTTCAGCGTTGGGGCAGAAGGGGCAACAACAGCCTCTG